ATCAGGGCTTGGGGGACTTTTATGTAGGCTGAGAGTGTGTCCTCTGAGTAGGAGAGTAGGGGTAGCTCTCCTGTGACAAGCAGGTTCTGATAATGCCATGGGTAGTTATAACAAGATCATGATGACCTTCATGTCTCCTGGCCAGCGCAGATACAAGCCTGGAGACAGCCATCTTTCATGATCTCAATGGATGAGAGATTTCAGGTGAGAGGTGAGGGGGCTTCTTTCCCTTCCAGTGTCTCCTTAATTTTTTCTTTCTATCCTGCTTCATTAAAGACTTCTAACCACCAGGTGAAACTGAGATAATTATCAACCCTGCCAGTTCTTGACGAAACTGCTTACTTATGAATAGCTCTTGCCATTCTACCCTAATTATCCCTTTATTTAAACCTCATGTCATTTTCCTGAAGACAGACTTAGGGCAACTCAACTCCTGCATCTTGTTTCTATTCCCTATATGGCTAAAATGATTAAAACTTTGCCTCTAGTTTTCATCATTACGCATCACTTTACTTGGCACATCAAGACAGTGGCTGAGTCTAACCTATCAGTACTCCCCGAAAAGCTAGGTTGGCCCTAAAACTTCTCCAACAATTTAAGTAGAAGACAATGGGAAAAAAATTGAAACCGTGAGGCAAATACACATTTTCCAGGGATATACTGGTTACCGAAGTTAGTAAAGAAGAAAGAGCTTGAATATGTTAATCAAATAGGGAAAAAAAATCTTTAAAGTTACTCAATAGTTCTCATGTGAAATGTAAAGAACAGAGGAGTAAAGCTTTGAAATCATGTTAATCCATATACAAATTCATTCATTCCATTTGATTATTTGGGAAATGCATACAGGTTTACTGTGTGTTGCAAACCAAAGGTGCACTGAAGATGGGGGTAGGTTTTGATCCTGGGCTTGCATTGCAAAGAAGTGTATCATTTAATAAACAGCAAGATAAACATATATCAAGCAGGAAAGAAATAAACAATATGGGTAAAAATACTAGCAACATTAAGCCATATCGTGAGTTGAACAGTGTCACCAGGAAGCTATGACAAAGCAGTGGCCAGAACCTATAGGGACAAATGTAATCATACTCATACTGAAGTCCTTGCAGATGGGATCATGTTTAGGTGAGATCGTGGGAGGTCAGGCTCAACCCCAAAGAGGAAACTCAGAGGGAAGAAGGTCAAACATGTTTGGGGCTCTGCAGCAGCAGAATTGAGTTGTCAGTAGCATGTACCAGGGCCTTCAGGAGCTGGACTCACTCATCAGTCCAGGACATTGATCTCCAGTAATAAGAGATCCTTCTTTCCCTCTAATCTTCCACCTGAGTTGCCAGTACCTTGCTAGAACAGCCCAGAGAAGCAAAGGACGGACGAGGCTGAAAAGGTAAGAGTGAGCAGGCAGGAGTGTCAGCAAAGGTCTGGGTGACTGCAAGGACACCATGACATCAGAGACAAGGGCCAGGAACAAAGTGGAGTGCCAAGGAAAGAAGAAAGATTATGGGCAGAAGAGGAGGACTCCTCATGGCTGGAGGTTCTGTAGAGCCTGACTACAGAAGGGGTAGAGGCCTCAAGGGCAAAGCGCAGCTGTGAAGTGTTCACACAGAGCACTTACAAAGTCTTGTCTCTGTTAAAAGACCTCCAGCTGTGGCATACAAAACTGTCTGCAGGGAAGAAGCCTGTGGCAGGAACACGGTACAGGGGTAGAAAAGAGATGTATATCAGCAAGAAAATCTGTAAACTTCAGGTACCTCTAAAGGAAGGAAAGAGCCCTCACGTGCTGTCTGTGGAGGAGTTTGGGCTGGGTCCTCCAGAAGGCAAGACAGGGAAAGTAATGCAGACTGCTAAACACTAGGTACCCATGGCCGAATCCCACAGCTTAGGATTCAGTCCCATGTTACCATCACAGATGCTTTTATTTTCTGGGTTGCAAATTGATCTGAAGGCTGGACCCCATCACGACGACAGAGCAACTACAGTTACTCTTCATTTCATATCCTCACTTATGTCGGTCTGAAAAAGACATCAGGAACACGTATCCCTCAGGCCCACAAGAAAACTCTAGCCCATACATCTACTCTAAACAAATGACACTAAAACCAAATAGGGAGGGTCCTGAGCCTGATAGGGTGGACACACCCTGTGCTCCTTAAAGCACTTTAGACCACAACCAAATGACCTTGACATCACCACCACCTCTCACTCTTCCTCCTCCTCCTCTTCCTCCTCCTCTTCCTCCTCCTCTTCCTCCTCTTCTTCCTCTTCTTCTTCCTCCTCCTCCCTTCCATACCTTTGGTGAAGAGGGTGGGGGCACATACCCAAGAAGCAGAGTAGCCCAAGTCTGAAAAGTACAGGTGAGACAACAGTGACAGCCTGGGCGTGCCTCTGGGAGAGAAGAGGAAGACTTAGGATGGGCAGTGCTGCATGGGTGAAGGATATTGGACCACTACATCAGAGCCCATTCCACAGCCACATGAAGGAGACTGACTGTCACAGAGTTCAGGCCAGTGGAGGAGGTGGCTGTGGCATTGGTGTTCACAATAAGTGAAAGAGCAGGCACAGATCGTATAACAGAGGGCATGCATGTGTGCATGTGTGCTGACATAAGGACTTAGCACCCTGGGTCCTCATTGTTTACATGAACAGTTAAGAGAATTTCACACATGAATGAAATGTGCTTAACAGCCTACTGTGTGGATTGTCTTAAAACCACTAAACAGTGTATTGCCAGTCCATACTCCATGGCCTGCCCCTTCTCCAATAAAATGTGTAAGAGTAAGATAACTCAGTCTGCATGGCCATGGACACTCCAAACTGGCCAATGGTGTGTCACCCTTGAGCAATGTATCACCCCAGAATTGGGACAGCATCCCCAGCCACACAAGGTTACTAGGGCCATGTTTATTCCATAGATCCATAGAAACACCAATCCCTTTGTTTATTCTAGATCAATGAGTTAGGATGTGAATGGCCAATGGGAAGAATGCTGTGTCCATCCTACATCTGTAAGTCCTGACTGTATATTCATTGCTGGTCTTGGGCCAGATACCATTAGCACCAAAGTCTACTGGATAGGGATGCTTCGCTATGTCATATGGACAGAATGTCTATCTCTGTTTTGTGTGATAGGGGTCCTGTGTGTAGAGGTGCTGTATCCTTCTTTAGTCAGCATGATGGATGGACTCTGAGGCCATGTTGGGTCTGTGGGTCAGATCCTGCTTTCAGCCTAGGGATGTGGGACCAGGTTTCTGTGTCCATCCAGGATCTGTCGGATGGGTCACAATGTTCACCTAGGTATGCAGGGAAGACAGTGTCCATGCTAGGTATATATGACAAGGATGTTGTGTCCATTAGGTCTGTAGAGCTAGAAATGTCCTAAATTTGTGGGACACACACACACACACACACAAACACTCTTCACCCAACGTTTGTAGGGTCCAAATGCCAGTACACCCTGGGTCTCTGTGGAAGGTGCCATATTCACCATAGGTCTGTGAGGACTGGACACCACATCCATTCCTGGCCTTAGGGCAGAACCCCTGTCTATCTCAGGTCTGCGCCACAGACACCATTGGCATTCCATTTCTCTGAGTAAGAGCTGTGTGGATTGTTGGACTCAGATGCCATCTATCCAGGACTGTGAGACCGGACACTCTATTCATCCTGGGTCTTTTTTTATTTTATTTTACTTACATTCCAAACGCTGCCCTCTCCAGGTCCCTTCTCACAGAGACCCTCCCCCATCCCCACCTTCCCTGTCTCCTCTGAGAGGGTGGGCCCCCACTGGGTATCCACCCCAACCCTGGTGCCAGAGTAGCCGCATCCTCTCCCACTGAGGCCTGTTGGAGAATGGATACTACAGTCAGGCTCAGGCTACAGCTTTAGGGAGAGCCCATGCTCCAGTTGTGTGCGTGTGTGTGTGTGTGTGTGTGTGTGTGTGTGTGTGTGTGCACATGGAGACTGAGCTGCACGTTTGCTATTTATATGCCAGAAGCCTCAGTCCATTCCACATGTGTTCTTTGGTTGGCATCTCAGTTTCTGAGAGCTCCCAGAGGTCCAGGTTAGTTGATTCTATTGGCCCTCATGTGGGGTTCCCATCCCCTTAAGAGCATTCAACTCTTCCATAAAAATCCCTGCCCTCCGTCCAGTGTTTGGCTGTGGGTATCTGCATCTGTCTCAGTCAGTTGCTGGCTGAAGCCTCTCAGAGAACAGTTATGCTAGGGTCCTGTCTGCAAACATTAACAGAGTATCATTAATAGTGTCAGGGGGTGGTGCTTGCCCATGGGATGGGTTTCAAGTTGGGCTGATTATTGATTGGGCACTCCTTCAGTCTCTGCTCTATCATTGTCCCTGCATTTCTTTTAGACAGAACAAATTTTGGGTCAAAAGTTTTGACCCAAAAGTGGGTTGATGTCCTTATCCCTCCACTGGGGTCGGGGTGGGAGTCCACCGGCTGGCTGGCGGGCTACCGGAGGTGGCCTCTTCAGGTTCCATGTCCCCACAATTAGGTACCAGGTCTGTGATGAGGATGCTGAGCTCACCCCGGTTCTGTGGGGCTAACAACGGGTCCACCCTAGGTCTATGAGGAGGAGGCGTAATTGTGCGTGTGGATGTCGCCGTGTCCATTTCGGGTGTGGGGTGCAGACGCCGGAGATAATCGGCTTCTGTGACACCAACGCTGTGTTCACCTCAGGTCTGTGGGGAGGACGCTGCGTTCATCCCAGGTCTGTAAAGAGCTGACCAAGTCCGGGCTGTGGGACAAGGATGCCGTCGGATCCTGGCAAACTGTCCCCAGCCACCGGCTGCATCTCTGGAACCTTCTGCTTCTGGGGAGTTTGGGAGAAATAGAACCAGAAAAGCACTTTGACCCTTCTTATAGAAATACATTAACGTAACAGCGAAAGTTGGACAGTCTTTTTTTTTTTTTTTTTTTTTAAAAGTCACAGAGTTCTCGCGAGAAGAGCTAAGCGCCGGGTTCGTACCTGTAGATCTCGCGAGAAGACTAAGCGACTTCCCTGGCTGTCGGAAGCTGAGCACTGGTCCAGGCTGTTGGGAGCCCCAGCGGCGCGATGGCGTCCCCGTATTCAGTCAGAGCCTTCCCAGTCAGCATCCCTGCGGTGATCATGGTAACTCGCAGGCTCTGAGGACTGGGCGGCGCCGGCGTTGGTGGGGATGTGCTAGTTCTTGCGTGAACAGCGCAGGCGCGGGCAGGCTCCCTCCTGAAACCGCGTTCTGCTCAGATGAATGGGGCAGACCCCGGGTGCGCACAGCCAGTCCTCTGGGTCCCCCAAAGGGCTCTTACCAGCTTCTACTGATTTCCCTACCCATCTCTGGGCAGCCTCTCCAGTGTGCTGGCTTTCCGATGTGGCACAGAAGATATCAGCGGTACCCAGTTAAGGACACTGGACTCCAAGCAGTCCCCAAGAGCTTTAGGGCTCCAGATACCGGGGCTGGTCTTGCCTTGTGGAGCAGTGCCCTTGGAAAGGGCATGGGGAGTGCTAGGAAGTCGGGACTAGGAACTTAGTATTGGTTGGAGACAGAATCAGAAAGATTTGAGCCTTCGGGTATGGACTTAAGATCCCAAAGAACTGACAAGCACACTGTCTAGCCAGCTGGGTGCTTCAGGAGTGTCTGGGACAGTCATGCGGGTGTCATTAGGATGGCTCTCATTTCTCATTTTTCTCATTTCTTCTGCATGGAGTTTGGTGTAAGCAGCTCCACACATTCCAAGTCCACATGATTTTCCTTAGCTTGTTAGTTTAGTTCATAGTAGCCCTTCACTCAATCAAAAGAGGCAGGTGGGCAATAGTTTCCATTCTGTGTGGTCAGACTTAAAAACCTTTACCTAAAAATCTGGGAATGTGTTTGCAATTGAGGCGTCGCTGTTTCCTCTCTCTTGCCCCAGCTTGTCTAAGAGTTCTAGTATAATCCCCAAACTCAACGGAAGGGACCAGTAGCTCCCGCTACCCACCCTCCAGGTTTCTAACAGTGTATCCTCACAGGAGACAGACTGGACAGAGCCCTGGCTCCTAGGGCTGCTCGCCTTCCACCTGCTGTGCCTACTTCTCACGTGCTTCTCATCACAGAGGTATAAACTACAGATCGGGCACTTCCTGTGTCTGGGTGAGTAGGAGAAAAGCGAACCCCTGTGTTCACTCTCCTTGCTGTGATACTGACTTGGGTTTCCTCCACACACACACCCCCACCCTGCATTGTGTTTTCACGGGGTTTCCCAAGCCTTCCATTCTATATGGAAATCATGAAGGAATCTTTGGACCTGGAACTTGTTCCAGGTTGGCCAGGGAAGATGCCAAATGTCAGTTTACTAAGATGTTGATTCCCTTACGCTGACTCTTACACAGATAATTCCTGCCTGAGTTCAGTGTCGCTCATCTCTCATGCAGATGTTTTCTTGCCAGGACTAGTCCCATACTGCCTGCTCTGGAAAGCAGACTGCGTATTAAGAGAGATTCTATGTATAAAATATTATTCTCGGTTAAAGATTATGACTTTAGGAGTTCTGGGAAGGGATTACGTGTATGGAATGGAGAAAGATTGCGTCTTTATTACATAGAAACAGACACAGAATAGAAGTCGTGGTACTTGACCAAATGGGGACATTCACTATTTTGGGCCCCTCAGTTGGGTCAAAAGGATCAAAATGTCAGGAAGAAGAGATCAGTAACAGCTGGCTTGCCTGGGCATGAGGTCTAGCTCAAGTGAGGACAAGTGGTCAGAGCCCCTAAAATACAGGGTGGGACATGGGGGGAATCTGGGTCACAGGTCAGATACCACAGTCTACGGGAGCTGAGTGTCCCAGACTGAGTGATTACGGTGTAAATGCTTGATTTTTGTGGACACCGGAAGGATGAGAAGAGTTTGCTTGATCAGTGGAAAAGCTGATTTTAGACAAACGTAATCAGTTGACTGAGAGGCAGGCAATGTGAACACGGAACAGAATGGTGTCCATTCTTCCTTTGAAATTTTTTACCTGAGAAATTTTGGGGTTACACTGGTAAGCAAAATAGACTCCTAAACTTTATATAGCTTCCTTGGGGACACTCAGATTCAGTAGTTAACCATAGAAGCTTTATAATTGTACTGTTACCAGCTGTGGTGATTGTTTTGATAAGAACTGAGGTCTATACACTAGACTATATGGAGGAGCCTGTGTCCTACAGGCAGAGTGGAGGCACACAGGCCTGAGCAGGCGAGAGGGCTGGGCTGAGAACTTTGTCCAGAGTGTATATGTACAGAAGTCTCCAGGGAAGTACCTTGAACGACGGATCAGCTTCCTAAGTTTAAGAACAGTGCATGCACTTGCAGTTTTGAAGAGGGATAACCACAGGCATTCTTGGGAGACTACAGACACTGCTGTGTGCTTTGCTGCTTTATGGCTCAGTAAAATCCCAAAGAATATAAAAACACTGCAGTTATGTTCTTGTCTTCACAAATGCTGAGATTAAGACTCTTGGTGTGTTACATATGTGTTGATCTTTTTTTGATTCCCATTAAGTGGACATATTTTCTAACTTCACAATCTTAGAGTCCTTACCACATCATAGTTAAAATAGAAATTGCATTTTTTGGTGTTCTGTTGAATTGTTGTATGTAAAGATGTATTATCTCGTTCTGTAGTGACTGTCATTGGTCATGAAATTCTAACATAAGTTTTCTATGTTCTCTTAGTAGTGTTAGTCTATTGTGCCGAGTACATCAACGAAGTGGCTGCAGTGAACTGGAGGTGAAGTCAGCTTTTCATGCTCTTGACTCTGTCTTAGTTTTCCGCTGCAGTGATACTATCACATGGAACTTTCTAAAGAACATGAAACCCACAGGGAAATTGAGGACTCCAGGAATCTTGGCCCCATAAATATTAAGCATCTTGTACATATGGCTTTAGGCCTTAAGAAACGAGTAGTTAAATATTTTGTTGTTGTTAACCAAAGACTAATAATTGTATTTATTAGAATAGTTACAACCTCCTCATTGATGATATGTGTTACTAAACAAAAATCCCAGTGCCACTTTTGGGATAACTCCTTCTGGTCAGGGAGGCCTTAGAGGGTTACACAACAGTGAGGTATTTTAAGAATGGCAAAACTTTGTTGACTGTACTACATGAGCTCTTAAGGTGCTGACCAATAACTTACAATCTGTGAGAAAACACTGGGAATATTATAAAGTAATTTTGAGTATGTGTTATTACTTGAGAGCAAGTGGGCCTTTCTCCTGCCCTCTCCCTTTCCTATACCTGGACCATGCCAGAGCCTCCAGAGTTTCCTCCCTGCATCCCCAGCCGCAACCCTCCCACCTAAGTTGTCTTAACTGGTTCTCCTGTCTCAGTGAAGATTACTCCCAACATTCCAGTGTGTCCTTCCTTAGTCACTCAGAGGCAAGCACAGAACCATATTGATGACGCCCATGGCCTGTGCTGTAGCCCCTCCTGCGGGCCCACTGCTACCTCAGATTTGTGTTGTCCCTTCTGGTCAGAATCTCATCCTGACCTCTCATCACACACATTCACATGCTCTCTGCTTTGTTTCAGTAAGTCAAACAGTCTGGGATCTTTCTTCTCTCCAGAAGATAAGCTTCCTTCAAGACTGAACCCATCTGTACATTTCCCTGCAGTAACCTATAGCTCATGTAGCAGATTCCCAACCACTGTTACGGAGTCAATGGAAACAACTGTCTACCGTACTTCCACATTACCAAGACAGAAATGTCTACCCCTAGACAAGTGCTGCCTTCTACTGCCTGGCTCTTTATCCTTGGGCAAGTTGGAATCATATGGCCTTTAGGTCTCCTACACAGAATGACAGTTACTTCACTAAGGTGGATGGGGGCAGGAAGCACCACAGTATTTTCTTCAGTAGCTGTAGCAAGAATGGATCTCTGACTCTAATTTATGAGAAACATTAAAGCTGTTTCTGGGCTGTTTTGAGAACCCTTCAGTGAACCCCGACTATGAACCACTGTTCTCCTGTTACCTTCCAGGACTGAAAGGGAACCATTTTGTTTTGTTTTTCCTACAACAGATTGTTTGCAAAGTATCAGTACTTTGACTCCCGGGGAATGTTCATTTCTCTTGTGTTCTCAGCGCCGCTGCTCTTCAACGCCATGGTCATTGTGGTATGTATGACACAGACATTTATGTCCTGGCTTTCTTCACTCAGATGCTTTCCAGTTTTAATCATGACTCCAAATGATTTTTAGATTATGTGGGTCCGGAAGACTTTGACTGTGATGACTGACCTGAAGAACTTACAAGAGAAAAGGAAGGAGAGGAAAAGGAGAAGAAAGGAAGAGTAATGCCGAGCTTCTGCTGTGCCCCATGTTTGTCCTCTGACTTGGTGGTTTCCAGCTGGGAGCTGCACATGGCCCAGATGTTTTCTGTCAGCTGACTCATGGTTTGGAAAAAGGTTCTTATATCTTAACACATCACAAATGGTTCTTATAGTTTACTCTGTTTGGAGCCCTCCTAAAGCTGTTTGTTAGAACTAACAGTGTGACCCGGAAGCACGGTGAATGGGGACCCCTCCTTTTCACGGTGGGAGCTTTCTGGTTCAGCCACGCATCGTACACAGCTTCTCACAAGCTGTGGTAGATCTCAGTATGGAACTAGAGTTCACACGGTTTTGAGTGTGGAAACTGGGAATAAGCAGACCCATCCTGCTGTGACCACTACCTGCTCCCTCTTCTGTTTCTAGCCTGTAGTGGTGGCTATCAGCTAAGGGTGGCTTTGTTCCCCAGAAATTTTGCTGATGCTTGTCACCGCAGGTGGACATGACTCTTGTGTCCATAGGATAGAGCCTAGGGTGCTGAAATCCCCCAGGGCACAGGACAGCCCCACCATGGAGTATAGCTGTGTATATAATGTCAGCAGTACCCAGGCTAAGGGAGCGGTGGGGCAGGTCTGGAGAAGAATGCAGTGCCTTTCGGTTCCCATGAAGCCAGGCCTCTGAATAACTGAGTTGGGGCTATGCCACTGGAAATGTTTTGTTTAAAAATACTAAGCTAGAATGAAGGCGGTAAAGTCCAGACTCTGTGGAAAATGGTATGTCAAATGAACCATTTGGTTTTATTTTTTCTGGATAAAGAATTATAAATTCCTGCATACTCAGTGAATGGCTTAGCTGTTTCTACCCAGACTATGACAAGTGCAGACAGTTCTTCCCATGTGTCACATCTTGTACAGTTGGGGGCTGGTGAGCACAGCAGGGCGTGTTGTCACCTCTGCTTTGGTTTTGCCAGACACCCTTGGTTTGCTGCTATGGAATCCGGAGCGATGAATCTGTAGAGATTACAAGTGACTGAGACCCAGGCTCAGAGACAATATTTATTACCAGAAACACTATACACTCTTGGCTTTAGTTTAAAGAAATATTTGCGAGTTATTTTCTTTATTTAATAGGATTTTTTTTCCTTTCTAAGTGAAACATTCTTAAAAGTTCTAAAATAAAATAAAATCTAGTTAAAACTATTTAAAAGGTTAAAAGTAGATAGTTTGATAGACTACGGTTATGTTCTGAAACCCAGTTATATAGTTTTTACTGTTTTTCCAGCTTCAGGCTTAAACAGAAAGCCTATTGACTGACTTGTGACGATCTGATAATCCGTGGTGTGAGTCTGTGGCTGCTACTGCAGCACTTAACCTGAACTGTCTTCACAGTCTCTTGATTTGTTCCACTTTACATTGAACAAAAAAGTGCCAAAGAAAATAACATAGTGTAGTAAGTCAAATTTTGAATTTAAAATCACATTGTTAAGTCATGAACACTGTATCTAAGGATGTACCTAATTGTATGTTTCCGAAATTTTCTGGTTCAGGGTATTTGATCATTTTATGGTTACAAAGGTGCTTTCTATAACATTGGTTAGTTTCATAGAAAAATAAGAATGAAGTAGCCAGTTAGATAAATCTGAAATAATCGAGTGTCAGATAGGTCTGGGGCTCATCAAGCAGATCTGTTCCCCTAAGGCCTTTGTGTCTGAGGCCAGTGGTGCAGAACGGGTCAGAGAGTGGTTGAGATGTCTGAGTTCTGGCATATGTTGATATTAATACCTCAGACTATGTAACCATGACCTTGACTTGGGGGCTTTCATGACTTGTCTCTGCGTGTATGGTTGTGGATGCACATGTGCTTAGTTTTTGAGATAATTAAATGTTTTGTTTTGTTTTATGAAAGTTTTGGATTAAAGAGATGGCTCAGTTGGTACTTTGCATTTAAGCATGAAGACCTGAGTTTGATCCCCAGACTCACTTGACATTTGTTCCCAAGCATTACAAGCCAAGTCCAGTTGCTGGAAAACCAACTTGATGGAGGGAAGGAGCCAACACTCCAGGTTGTCCTCTAACCATATATACACACAAAATAAAGTGATGTATTAGTCATTCCTGACGAACAACACCTGAAGTTGTTCTCTGGCTTTCACACATAATATGTGTGCACACTGGTACACACATAACACGTGTGCAAATGTATTGTGTTTTCTGAAATTGACTCAGTGGTAAAATTGTACTTGGAGGAACTTCTTCATATTTTGTCCTTATATTAAGGAAAACCCTGCAAACTGGAACTGAACAAGCAATTGGGTTCAGTGCTGCTCTGAGGATTTTACAGGTTAGCCTTGTGCTGTGTTCACACTTCTGTAAAGAAAACTTTACAGGCAACTGATGGACACAGTGAAGATTCACTTACTGAGTAGTTGTGGAAAGCACTGGAAAGGCCTAAAATAACCATTTTACGCATTCCAGCTCATGAAACTTCATGTTTGGTCATTATCGTGCATTAATATACAATGAAATGTTTGATAATACACAGTGTGCTTTCTCGTGTGTGCGTGTGCGCGTGTGCGTGTATGTGTGCGTCTGTGTGTGTGCCTGTGTGCATGTGTGTACCTGTGTGCATGTATGTGTGTGTGTGGTGTGTGTGTGTGTGTGTTTGGAATCTAACATTGAGCAAGATTTCTCAGTGCTGGCTTCTTGGTGTCTTCCTGTGACCCTCATACTGCTGGAAATGCAGTGCCATAAGCATCAAGGAGAAAAGTCAGTATGGAGATCTGTAAAGAAGAAAGCCACAGATGGGTCTGTTATTAACATACCATGAGAAATGCAGTGTCATGGGACCGTGATCATCATCTCTCTTCCCCACACAACTTGTGCATGTGAAGTGTTCATAGGCCTGCTGAGATAACAAAGCTTCAACATCCTTCAACAGGTATTGGAGTCTACCACACACTGGTTCCGTTTCTGATGGCCAGACCCGATGGCTTTCCTTTGGTAAGGACTCCCACAGAGGAGCCTCCTGGGTGCCTTAAGTGGAGTTTAGGCTGGTGTGATGTTCTGCCAACCAGCCTGCTATTTATGAATGTTTATGGTGTCAGCTGGGGTCAGGGAGTGCCTGCCCTACATCCATTCATTCGTATGACAGAGAAGGAGTGGACAGCTAATGCCAGAGACTGTCAGCATGGGTATTATGAACCAGTGGTTAGAGACAGTGCTGTTTTAAATAGTTAAGTTTATGTAGTCATCCTTTGATACGCACAAAGAGTAGAGTCTGGGATCCTCTTCAGATACCACAATCCTTAAGTGCCCCAGTCTAACATAAACTGGCATAACATCTGCACAGAACCCACACATACCCATTTAAGTTTAATCTTTAAGTAACTTAAAATATACAATCCAATGAAACACTATGCAAGTTATTGCCGTACTTTTTCAGAAATAATTTTTAGAACAGCAGAGATGCAGTTTTTCCCTTGAACACTTTCTGTCCAGTGTGGCTAGGATCTGAGTATGCAGAAGCTTGGTTGGACATTAGAAGTGTTCTGGAAAGAAGGCAAGGAGGCCCTTAGCAGTGTATTGTGTTTTAAGTGGTTCCATAAGGGAGAGAATGGTGGGACCATATAAGGTTGGGACAAGCTGCAGGCTTATGGGAAGGCAATGGGAGACCCTGAGTAGGATGGGCCTAGCCAAGTCAGCAAGAAACCCCACCCAGCAATTTCCAACCTGAGGGACCCCAAGTTCCTAAAACCTGGAAAGACTGACATTCCTTAGTGACATGGATACCCATGACAGTGTTGTTTAGGACAAAAGTGGGGCCTGTGATGTAGGATTTTCTGCACTGAGTCATCTGAGAGGAAAAAGGAGAAGAAGCATGACGTAGTTTGCAGGTCTTAAAACTACAGATTCAGGGTTGCTTCTGATGCAGTCATGGGTGGGGGAGTGGGTACCGTGTGCTCTGGGTAAAGAGATGAGGTATTTCTCAGTGGACAGCAAAAGCAGGAAGCAGGTGTGGACAAGTGTGGGTCAGTAGGAGGAGCAGTGAGGCTGCTAGAGTCATGTCTGCAGCAGGAGAAAGCATGTCCAGGGTTAGACCTGAAGGTAAGAGACGCTGCTCTGGTGAAAGGAGTTGGTGGCCCTTGAGTAAGCAATGACTCTGCCACCTAGGCTTGGCTGGAGTCTGTTCCAGTGATGTAGGGCGAGAATTATAGCCAGTGGGACATCTTGTCCAGCAGGTTGTTGTTATCTTCCCCTCTGCAGATTTCTTTTTCCCACTTTCACAACTTATGATTTCATTGTGGTTCATCTAGGCTTGTCTTGCCTTCTAAAGTACTCGTTATCAAGATTAAAAATTTCTAGGTCACTTTTTTTTTTTTACACAGAATTCATATAGAAATATATAAAATGTAGAGGACATGAACTCCAAATTGGAGGCCCAAACAGGTGCATTCTCTCTCACATACCAAGAGGCCTCTGTAAAGCTGGTGTCTAGCATGGCTGCTGGCTCCAGAACTCATGCCTTGTCCACCTGCAGTATGCGACCAACCTGTCTTGTGTGTCAGAGGTTCCTATAAGCTACAATGAAGCACAGCTCGGTTCATATTGAGTCCAGTTGCTCTTGATATATTGGTTTTCTGTTTTTTACTACTTTCTTTTTGTGTCTAAAACTAGTGCTGACCTCATGTAAATGGGGCTCTACATAGCAGAATGTCTTAGTTTAGGGTGTCTTAGTTTGGGTTTCCGTTACTGTGATAAAACACCATAACCAAAAGCAACATGAGAGGAGAAAGGGTTTATTTCATCTTACTCTTTCCACAACACAGTCCAAGAAAGTCAGGGCAGGAAAGCAAGAACCTGGAGTCAGGAACTGAAGCAGAAGTCACAGAGGAGTGCTGCTTCCTGGCTTGCTCCTTCTGGCTTGCTCAGCCTGGTTTCTTGTACAAATCAAGACCACTTTCCTAGGGGTGGCACTGCTTGCAGTTGCCTGGGATCTCCCCTATCGATCATCAAGAAAATATCCCAGAGGCTTGCACACATGCCATTCTGGTGGGGGCATTTTCTCAATCAAGGTTCCCTCTTCCCAATTACTGTAACTTGTGGCAAGTTGATAAATACCAAGTAGAACACAGGACCGAAGGGAATCTGTGCTTACAGGCTTAGTCTCCTTAATACTATCAGGCGGGTCACAGGTTCCTGCATATTGCTTGTGGGATGTGTCTCCTGTAGCCTTCAGCTGACCCACTGCAATGACCTCTACTCAACTGCACCTCCTCTGGCAGGCTTGGGCCCCCTGTTTTTTTTGTTTTGTTTTGTTTTGTTTGTTTTTAAGATTTATTTATTTATTTTATGTATTCACCATTGCTCTCTTCAGACACACCAGAAGAGGGCATCAGATCCCATTAAAGATGGTTGTGAGCCACCATGTGGTTGCTGGGACTTGAACTCAGGACCTCTGGAAGAGCAGTCAGTGCTCTTAACTACTGAACCATCTCTCCAGCCCGGGCCCCCTGTTTTAAGAAACTACACAAAACATTGCTTATATGTCTCTAGCAACAGAAATGAGTTACTGGAGGCAGCTCATCTGTTTATGTCCATGTCTTATGTGGCACTATTCCGGAGTCCCTTGACTTCCTACTGCCCCATCTGCTTGGTATTTTTTCTTGCTGTTTCCAGTCTTCACCCAAGCTTACCTGTGTTGTTATTTGAAACATCCAGTGTATTTGGGACAGGTGGTCATGTTATAAGCATCTGTCTCCAGAAGCCTACCTTCTGTCGTATCATTTTTCAGTCACTTCACCATTACAATCCTTCTATTATAGAACCTGATCATCCATTACCTCATAGTAACCAAACCAGATAAGGTCCTGGCCAGTTTCTGATATGGAGGTGCAGTTTTGTAATGACCACCAATATAAATAAGGCAGATACTCATCATCTTCAGGAACTGCCTTATCTTTCTGTTATTGGCTTGGGATAAATTCCTTGTCTGTCAAAGTAGCTTACAAAACAACTATTTTATGGCAGCTATTGTTACTGAAGTATTATTCAGTTACTATCCAAAAGGAATCCTGGTATCAACTATACATGCCTCCTAGGATCAGTCTCTACTTAATCACAAGAAAAATCCTTTTGTGATTAACAGGTAAAATCCCACTGCTTATTGTGTGTCCTTGGTTATCAGTGGGGTTTGTTTAACATTGCCTTTTTTTCTTTTTGTATAGTCTGATCACTGAGACACTTTATTCTTTGTGTTACTATATAGCCTTTACAAGTACCTTTCTAATTTTATGTCGGAATCAACCACAGATGCAAATGTGTTTGCCTGGTCTGCCTTTGAATTTGACTTGTTTATTTATAGTTGTATACTTAGGCCACATAAGTATGCCTAAAGGATTATCCCCAAAGGCTGAAGATATCCTCTTCCTCATAGGTCCAGAAAGGAGTAGGTAGCTGGCGTTGAAGAAGTCTGCATAGCATCCTCAACTGTCTTGGGAGTGGGTGCATGGCCATGCTCAAGCATCTGTTTGGCCTATTTCATGGAGTCCATGGATGGACACCACTATAATTTTCAGGCCCAGTTCTCAAACACACCATTGCAGTGGCAGGAGTGTTGAGAGCCCACAGATTTGAATCCTGAAACCCTGATTCTCTTTCTTGTGGTCGTTTGTAAAGAATTACAATGTGTCTGTCCATGTGGTCACTCAGATTAGTCTTTTAAATTCTCCTCTGTAGGTTATTGGTAATGATAATTACAAAGTCAGTAGAAGCTTTAAGCAATATATTTTGACAACATAAAATTTTATCCAAGGATGTATCAAGACATTTGGTGTACAGAATAGTAAGTTTCACTTTTGAAGTAGGTGGAGTACCTTGACAGGATATTGTCTCTCTTCAAGTGTGATTCTCAGACTTAACTGATTTCTCCCTTTTTAATAATTGATAGTCCTTCTCTGGCACTGGCAGCCTGGCCACCACTACAGTAAATGCATATGTGAAGGAGAATTAGTAAAATTAGAAAAACAGAGCCTTAGGGCCAAGGGCTGGTGTGCAACCTGGAACATATGCAGATGCAGACTCGGCCCCTGATCATGCTACCAGCCTGGCCATGGAATCACCCTAGCTC